AGAGCTATAATTAAATATTTGATAACTAGAAAGCAAGAATTTTTGGACTAAATTTAAGGATTAAGCATGTACTGTAACTACTAGAGTTATAGATATTCTGCATGTATTGTGCTGCAGCACCAGAGGAAAATAATAAATCACTGAGGGATTCAGAGGTGGTCAAAAAGCAGATCAGGGAGGCTGGGAAATGACTAGAAAGAGAGGAAAATACTGGCAGTCTGCGCTCTTACAGTGAAGACCAAAGAAAAAAAGGAACGGAGCCTCTCATTGGAGGAGAGCTGAAACCATGACAACCACCCAAACTGTCGGCCAGCATCTAGAGAATAAGCGCTGCATGGAGTCTGTAGTGTTTTTAAAAGCCTTCTTTACCATAACCCCCTCTGCAGACGGCGTCTCACACATGAACACAAACTAATTGTTTAGAGTCGGCGGAGGAGCCTCTCCCCACTCAGCAGGACAAACACCATGAAGCCATTGTTCCGGGCTCATCGCTGCGGGACGGAAAAATAACATGAATCAGACGGATTTTAAAAAACTACGGTTGCTAAACAAGATTCAGCTGAAACAATCAGTTTATAGTCAGGATTTCTTTATTTTAGCAAAATGAGGATGAATAATAATAGAAATAAAAGATAAAAAAACATTTTTTTTTCTGCACACAGCGCACTAAACATTCAGAAAGAACACAGGATCCTTCAGAGATCTGGAGAAAGGCTGTAGATCACAGGCCTTCTACCAACAGAACCGATTATCTGCAGGAGCATCTAATGTTTGACATTCAGCTGGAGTTTTAATTATAATTTCATTTAGAATTAGAAGAGAACCATTTTTTTCACTGCAGCTTAAAGTTCTATTAAAAAGAAGTTCAAACACATATCGAGCCAGAGAAGGAGACATCTTTATTCCAGAAAAAGGTTCAGAATCATGGTTCTCAAGGTCCTGAAACAGTTTTATTTATTATAAAAGCATTGTTTTTAATTTTTAAGTGCTTTCTACATAAAAACTGTTTCCATTTGCCAGCCACTAAAAGTATTAAAATATGGTGAGAAAAATCAGAACCATTCAGAAGTTTTCAATCCTTCTATCACATCCTAACAATGCAGAGAATCTCAAACATCTGAGCCAAGAAGCTAGCTAACAGAGGCCCGCAGTGTTTCCCACAAACAGTAGCACACAGCAAGAAGCCAGAGCGAGCCCGGCCTGCACTCATGTAGGAGGTTTAACCGTATCCGGAGTTCCCAGTCTGATAGCTCAGCACTACAGCTTTGGGTTCCCACGGAAACCGCCAGCGAGCTAACATCCTCCCTCTGTCTGCAGCACGAGCTGCTGCTGCTTCATCAACACAGACCAACATGTCTGCATGATTTCTAAGCTCCTGCTGCAGCATCCCACCTTCTGCAGATCCATAATCACACCATCATCCAGAGCCAGGAGGAAAACTGCAGCGTTAGAGGGAGAGAAGAAGATGCTGCAGTGCTGCATCTCATTCAGAGCAGAAAACAAAGCCAATTAAACTACTGGGAGATTCATTTAGTTTGGAGGAACTGAGCTAAAGCTGCAGGAAAATTACTTTTCTCCTCATTCGCTCCAACATGGAGCCGATGCAAGTCTGAGCTGACGTCACTTTCTGCTGAGACATGAGCTTCCAGAAGCGCGCTGGAGAGTCATGGGAAGATCAAACAGCCGCAAATCATCTTTATAAATGAAGAATGAAAGCAGTGGTTAGACAACAGCTCCTCTTTCATTTTCTCTGCTTTGTATCATTTCAGGAACAGGATCTGGATGCATAAGGAACCTGTTCAGGAAGCTGCAGGAGCCTATAAAGCTGAGGAACTTCAATGTGACTCCAACCGGATCCATGTTTGAAAGGAACAGATCAGGAAGTTCAGTCAGTCTACACAGAGATGGTTTAAAAATAAATGAACTTTTAGTTGTGCTCAGTCGCCTCTCTGCCTAAGAACAAAGGAGTAAAAGAAAAACTGTGATTAATATGGCGGCAACGCAGCCTGTAAAGACCCAACTCAGAGTCTGCAGACAAACTAATTGGCTGGATATGAATTATTCACCCCGCAGAGGAAGGGAGCTGCAAATCACTTTTACCTGCTGGACCGGATTATTCTTGGCTGCGTGCGATCACAGATGGTGGAGCATCCAAAACAGGGAACCTGCACCGAACCAACTGAGCCGTAAACAGTGGAGCTGAGCTGCTGCTTCACTTCCAGAGATCCCAGGAAAGAAAGATCAGCCTTCTGCTTTCTTTTTTTGCCCTTCAGTGCACTTTTAGATTAGATAAATGTATATTTTGAATTCCTGATGATTTTATTGTCAGTTTAAATCTGTTAGGGGTTAGAGAACACACCACTAAATGAAAGAGCATCACAAACGAAGACGATGCAGAGCCGTGCTGGAGCTCTAATCAGTTCCAAGCTTTTATCATGTAAATTTAACCCCGTCTTCTAAAGCAAAGATGGTGTTAAAAAACAAAATTATAAGCCGCCTGAATGAGGTGTACGGGGGTTGGATGCACATGACTAAATTAAAGCATCCGGCAGGCTTGGTTTGTAAACAAACTCTCAGGCCTAGTTAGACTGAAAGGTTTCACCGAAGCACCTGAAACTGCTATGCTGGCATTACTTGATCTCATTCCTGTTTCTAACTCAGGTTATTATAATATTCTGACCATACTGTTTATGTAAATCCAGACTGGAACTCCAAAAAAAGGTTGCATGTGAGGTTCCTCAAGGCTCCGTTGTTGAATCCCTTTAATTCAACATTTAAATTGCTTCTTATATACGGTAGACTGACTGAAATTTCCTGTTTCAAACTACCTAAACATTCGCTCAGCGTCCTAAGAAATGTGAGACCATTCAAACAACAACGATGAGCTAAAATGCCTTGCCCATGGGCACATCAACACGTGAAAGCAGGAATCTGGAATGCAACCCACACTCATCCTGAGTCAGTCTACTGTAGAAAACATCTCCGCCTAAACCGGGCATAAACTGTCCAGGTTTTTGCCCTTTTTAGGTCGATTCTCCAGTCGTGTGTGATTTTTTTGGATCGTGTCGCGTTTTAGCCTAATCATGCGTCGTGTAGCATAAAGGGGGTAACGAGGGGAGATCAGCCTCTCAGCTCTACCTCCCCATCAGGGATCGTAGGTTCGGGAGAAAATCAAACATGTTTGAAATTCAGTCAGCCCTAGAGAGCAGATCCTGCACTGCGCATGTGCAAACAAGGGAGTTCTTCTTTTTCCAGATAGATGAGTCCAACTAGCGCAATCTCTCAGCGCTGAGTCCAATGTTTGCTTTCTGGACATACAGTGTCAGCAGCTACTTCCTGTGGTGGCCTAGTGGTTAGAGCATGCGCTTGGGTCTCGGAGGTTCTGAGTTTAAGTCCCACACACTCCCATGGACTGCCACTCTGGGTTCCTGAGAAAGACCCTTGACCCCACACTGCTACCCGGGGGCCACACAATGGCAGCCTGCTGCTCCCCAAGGAGATGGTTTAAATACAGAGTGTGAATTTCAGTCCTCTGTACTTGTGACAGCGTAATGCCAATAAAAGTTGAAGAAGAGAAGACGGTAGATTGCAATAGAGCGGAGGTCTTCAACAGGGGGTCTGTGACCCCTAGGGGGTCCACGGAGGTACTGGATGGGGGTCGCAAAAGTTTGGTTGATAAGACTTTTTAAAAAATTTTATATTCCCCCCTGCAATTTTTTCCACTAACTGAAAGTCTTTAATTCCACATTAACATGAATCCAACAGACTGCAGTAAACAGATAAATGGAGGCAGAAGATGTCTTTCAGTCATCAATGCTCACATTCAGCGACACACAGGAGCTCTTTCAATCTGGACACCGTTTCATTCACAACACCTGTCCATTCAACCAGGAAGCAGAAATACTTTAATAATCCCAGGGAGGGATTACTTTAGTTACATTACTCCATCTGTAATAGAGTGACTATAGGAGCAGTTTGATAGAACACTATTTCACACCATATATATAATTAGGGGGTCCATCTCGCCATCAGTTTGGGGGTCCTTGGCCTGGAAAACGTTGAAGACCCCTGCATTAGAGCATCAGGCCATCCAGTGGAAGAACATACAGTACATCATGAGCTGTGAACTTTTTAAAACCTGCAGTTTCGTCGTACAGTTTGATTTGTCTGGCTTAAAGGTGTATGTTTGTGTGTCACTTGTTCAGTTTTTTACATAATATAAAGTAGTCGATGGCTCATTATTTTTTTTTTTGTGCTAAAACAATTACAATCACCTTTTTTTTCAATAAATCCACCATAACAAAGAACATTATGCAGTTTAGACCACTGAAAAATCCAAAAGATCTTGATTTCTAGCTCATAATCTAATAATATTTTCTCAGGTCTCCATAGACACATTTGGACTGGTCTTATCAGTCCAAACAAGCATCAGAAGCTCTTCACTGCATCTTTTAAGTTGAATGTCACTCAGCTGTACAGGACCTGATTCATCCACTTCTTACTTTAATTAAACATTTCAGCCACTGCGATAAAAGGATCCAGAGTTGCTGAGCAAAGAAGTTCTGCAATCATCACCAGACTTCTCCTCTCCTACACAGGCTGGACCTGAATGAGGACATGAACATGCAACTTGCTGTTCCAGTCACCCCACCGAGCTGGACTGTGCTGCATTGGAGCCAAAGCTGCAGCATCACCCTGAATGTGCAGGTTTGGACGGTGCAGCATCACTGCTCTGCCTCTTGTGCAGAGGCCCCAGTGACAGATGGAGGAAATTCAGAGACAGACAAACCTCAGAAGGGCCCATTATCACCCAGCTCTGTCTGCCTGACAACAAGCATTAAAGGCACATCATCACCATCATCATGATGAGCGCAGCTCCACTCTCTGCAGCCTCTATCCGCATTTAGGAGGCTGTTCTCCACCTGCCGCCTCCATCAGCATCAAACTGTGGCCGGTTAAAGAGCAGCGTGAGGTGCGGTGATGAGGCGGTTTGCACTAACCTGTCTGTCCTTTCCCCAGCGTCTTCTCCAGCCGGTACGGTCCCACATAGTTGGCGTAATGCCCACTGTTGGCGTCCTTGCCCGAAGATGACATGTTTTCAAATCTGCGTGGGCGTGAAATGACTCAATTCTCTCGCGGGACGCCTCTCTGCAGTGACAGCTCCGCGGCGCGGCTGGAGTTCGCCTCCCTCCCGTCCGTCCGTCCGTCCGTCCGTGTGTCTGCGGGAGGGTCGCTGGGATCTTCGGTATCGCTGACGCGCGCGCGTGCGCCTGTTTATCTCTGTGCGTGTGACCGTGGTGTTGTGCGCGTGCTGCCGGTCCTCCGGGGGTCTGGTCCTCAGTGCGGCTCAGGCTGCGGGTGTCATGGTGCTCAGCCCGAGGAGCGGTGCGCTGCGGCCCCGTTGGGTGTGATCTGATGATGGGACAGCATCTACTGCTGCCGCCGGTCCAGCTGCCTCCAAAAGCTGCAGATCACTAATTAGGGGAACTTCCGGGAAACCTTTCAGAATAAAACCACCACACTTTCTCTTTTTATGTAGACTGGAAAAAACGCGTATATAAACACGCTGAAGACTTAATAATTTCTACATTTTAGACATTTATTGCGAATAAAAACGAAACTTGTCAACAAGCATACATCTTTCACAAATTAACTAATGAACACTGAAAAACACAACATATATTAAAAAGCTTTGTATGATCAAGATATAAATATATATAGGCCAGGTCTTTTATAAATCTTCTATAACAAAAAACAATAGCATATCTTTATTTCAATTTTTGAGTATTGACCTGTTATTTATGTCATATTTTCACAATAAATATTCAGGGTTACTGTTTAGCATTAAGTTAATCGATTTATTATCAGTTAAACTGTAAAGTGCCTTGAGATGACATGTGTTGTGAATTTGGCGCTATATAAATAAACTGAATTGAATTGAATTAAAAATGCTCATTTAATACGAAGTTAAATAAAATCATGTTTTGAATCTAGAAACCATCCCTCAAATCAGTTTCTAATAGCAAATATCTTAAAATCAATTTACTGATGCATTTAACTGTTTAAAAATCATGAAGGAAACTTTTTGGTCTCTTAAGAAAAACATTGCACATTTTCTTCTTTGGAATTTAACAGATTCCACAAGTTTGCTTTGAACCATTAACTTTGAAACATTAATTAGAAACTCAATTATTTCAGTTTGTTCCAAAATACTTTATTAACAGTTGGGGAAAGAGAAAATCTAAATTGTATTTGTATATAAGTCAAAGCAAATACTACAAAAAAAAAAAAATAAAACAAAAAAAACTTTAAGAACATGTATTTCATTAATCATAGATAAACTGAATTTAACTCAATGTCCCAACAGCGGTGCTAAATGATTAAATTAAAAATAGTTACTTTAATGGACATAGTCCAATCATCTCCAAGTTTGTTTGTTTTTTTAATAGAAACATGAAGCATAACATAAAGCACTGTCTTGGCTAAGTGTTTCAGTTTTGTGAATTGTTTTTGTTTTGTTTGTTTGTTTGTAGTTAGTTTTGTAGATAACCAAAGACATTAGTTTTATTTTGAAAATCCGCCAAATTGATTTCCGTCCCCAATGCAGGTTGACACAGCAGCTTTAATTAGCCAACGCGCATGCGCACTTCCCGGCGTTATCTCCAATCTTTTCTGATTGAATTCAGGTCGAGATGACAGCGGGAGATGAAAGGATGCCGCTCTTTTCACGAAACTCTTTAAATAGCCGAAATAAGAAGGAAACTAAAGGCGGAGATGAAAATGTGATGAGAAATGACACTATCAGAGCATTTCTACAGCAATGTCTTACTGTAATCTATTAATCCAACTTTAAATGGTTCTATAAAGGAGGCAAACCTTTTTTTCTCCACCGTGGGAGGTGTAGGTGTGCGTGGAGTGGGGGAATCACACGCTGGGACACTTTCAGTTGATTAAACCAGCAGTAGGTGACAACCACCATCTATCAGCCTCATCACTCCTTCACAACAAAAGCCTCCTGACCCAGCAAGCTCAGAGGCAGATGGCCTTCCCCATCCTCCCCCCTTTCCCTCCCGCTCCTCCCTCTGCCTCCCCCGACAAGCACACCCCCCAACCCGGGTCTGTAACAAAGGGAGGAGGGAGTCACTGTGGGGAAGCTTTCCCTCAGATTACTTGGTGTTAATTAATGGAAGACTCACCCTCAGCCCCTTCCTCCATCAGCTGCACTGGAGGGGGCTCAGACCCCCGTCCACAGATTAATCATGCATCCTGTGGTAGGCTGATGCCACTGAGCGTGTTCAGATCTGCACCATCTGATCTCCTGGTGGCTGTGTCACTGTCAGACAGCTGCAGGCGGCTCCATGACTGTAAATCCACATCATCCTAATGACCTCGACGTGAAATAATCTGCAATCATGAGCCAGGCCTCAAAGGAGCAAACAGACAGGTTTCCTTTAATGGAGGAGAGGAGGAACTCTCCTCAGTAAAAGCTTTCATGATGGAACCTTAATTATCCATAATTAGCCTTAATCATCTTCGAATCATTATAGTTGTTTTTTTTATCACATCAGATTATTAATGACTTGATATTAGCTAACTTATAAACAGTTTTAGAGCCGTATGTTAAAAGGACATTGCTGAAGTTAGAGACTATTGCTGCAAATATAAGAATATAGATTATAAGCAGCATGGTGGCTCGGATCAAAGCACTGTTGCTTTGCAGCAAGATGGTTCTGGGTGTAAAACCCACCTTTGGGTCTTTTAGTATTGAATATGTCTGTACAATCTAGAAATAAGTAAAAATGTCTTAAATTAAGTGTATTTACCCTTAATTTGAGTAGATAAATAAGATGATCTGCCAATGGAATGAGTATTCTTACTCTTAAAATAAGATATTTAGATAAAAAGCACTTAAAATAAGAAAATGCAATCGTCTTGTTCCATTGGCAAAATGTGTCTTTTACCGCCTCAATTCAAGAATAAATGCACTTATTTTAAGAAAAAATTACTTATCTAGATTTAGATTTTTTCCAGTGTATACTTAGATGATGAGAGAATATGTGCTGTGACTGTTATCTAAATAAATAATTAGTTCTCCTCATGCATGTTTGAGTTTTCCTTTGGTAGAAAAACTAGCCGCTCTCATTCGCCCTGTGGCTACCTTTCCTGCAACCATCTACAGATGAGCTCATATAGAATATAAATATAGATCAAGATTCAACCTCATCTCGCAGTCACTCTAACATAATGTCTCTACAAGCTTTTAAATCTGAGCCATTAAGGAAATCCACGTGGTGGATTTATCCAAGGAACCTTGGAGTCGTTTAAACAGGCAAAACGATGTTTGCAGATCAGCAGAGTCTGAATGCACAACACAGAAATATAACTTTTTATTGCAAACAAGTCTTCCTTTACAGTTCTGATATTCCACACAGCAATTCAACAGACGCAGCAGGTCTATTTCATTAGTTTTGATGATTTTTGGTTCTTCTAACCTTTATTTGATGTGTTGGTTTATTTTCAGGTTCACACTAACTAAACAAATCCTAAGAAATAAACCTAAATCTCATAGTTCGTTATTCAATATGCAACCCTTCAAATAGAACATAAGAATAAGGAGTTCATGAAAAGTATAATCAAAGATAGCTTCTTATCAGTGGTTCCCTCATTTTTCTGAACCCCCCAATAAACCCTCCGAATAACCTTTTCAACTGTTGAACAAAGAAAAGCTGACTGCAGTAAAATGCAATATTGCAATAAGATAAACTTCACTAAAAAAATTAATGCAACCGTTTGTTGCATTTACTTAATTATATTTAGTTACTTTAACACAATTATGTTCATGTTAGCAGGTTAGTAACTAAAGGAACTAAATATAATTAAGTATATACCAAAAGCGGTTTCATTATTTTGTGTTTGATCTTCTTTATATCAAAAACTACCACATTTAAAATGTTATTATTCCAATGTTTACTTTTTACTTTGTAACCGAATTCATCATTGCTATAAATGCTAAGAAAAAAGCTCCTCTCAAAATAGGTAATTTATTCAGTTAATTTCTCTTAAGGCCCCCTGCAATTACACTAGACGCTCCCTAGGAGGCGCGTCCCCACTATGGGAGGCAATTCTTTGTTTTATTAAGGAACTAATACAATTATGGATGCCCTTTAAATATTTATCAGTTTTAAAATGTTCCAACGCTGTATTTTAATGAGGTTGTTTATTGTGAAATGTTAAACCAATCTATTTATTGATATATACATCATCATAATGAGGACTGTACTGAATGCAGGTCTGATGCAGAATGTGATTCTTCTCGTTTCTTGAACCTATTCAATGTAATGGAATGTATCTAAAGGAGCCATTAGCAGCAGAACAAACAGAGCGTATCTAAAACAACATTCACTCATGTGAACATCAAATAAAATATTTTCATAATTAGCTTTCATCAGACCTTCCAGTGCCACTGACACCTTTTCTCTGAGTGGGTGACTGTTTGGGTGAGCTTCTCAGTGATGACGCACATTTCTCCACCGCTGGATGAAGGGATATAAATATCGGAGGAAAAAGGGCCACAGAATGCAGCCTTTCGCTTTTTAAGATATTTGAGGAAAAAAAAGCAGCTTAGCCTGCAGTCTATTTCTGCATTAGTCAGCTCTACAGTGGCTGCTCCTGCCAACAGGGCGAGATAATGCACACACACACATTTCTGTCTCTACCTCCTGCACACAAGCACTTCAGACACATACTTTGAGAAAAGGAAGGCAAACAAGAAAACATTTCCTCTGACAGGCGGCTGATGATCAGTGAATCATGGAGCGAAGACGAGCACAAGAGGAATTTTATGAAGAAAACTATGTTCATGTAAAAAAGAAAAACCTCATTTTTACCAGAAACATCAGAGCTGCTCATACTTTCAGCAATCAACACATTAATCAGTGAATACATGCAGGCTGCACAGTTGATTTGAATATTTTTTACATCAGCAGTAAAATAACGAGCCTCAATATTTTAGCTGAGAGTCTCATCTGAGAGAAAATAGAGTCCTGTTCATGTTGTTCTTACAGGAATGCTTGTTTTAGTTTATTTAAACATTGCTTTCTTTCCTTTTTTTTGAGTAAGATTTATATTTAAGCATAAAATTCTAATCTCAGGTAAGAGCCTTGCTACTGCGTTTACAAGCATGAATTTGTAGTTTTGAGAGTTTTATTGTTTCTTTCCCATACCAGTCAGCGTAAATAACGGATTTGTGTAAATGCTTATTCAAGTGTAATACAATCGATTAATTTATTTAAAACAAATAAATCTGTTGCTTAAAGCCAGTCAGCCATCCTTCATAGTTGCTCTACAAAGTATCAAGACTAAAAACTAAAATTATGTTCAAATGCAAAAGTAGATAAATCTTTTGTCCACCTTAAATGGTTCAAACAATCAAATGCTTGTAATATAATTTCTTATATGCAAA